CTTTTCTATCCCGCATAAGAGTTTTGGAACTAAGTCTGTTTCTTTTTTTGAAAAAAGTTAGCAAACAAATCTTGCACATTTAAACCTTTGTCTACCATCACACTGTCACCTGGATCACATAATTGAACTGTTCTACATCTTTCAACTATTTCACAGTCACTTGTACAACCAACATATGCATTAGAGACATAGTTGACTAAACCACCAGGTGTCGAACATACAAGTATTTTCAGTGTTTCTGTTTTTATCTGATGAAAAGGTTGCCTGAGCTCTAGGAGCTTTAGGTTTTATCACGGGATATTCTGTGCTGTCAATAATAATCTAAGTTGCAGGAAACTTTAATTTGAAGTTGGATGGCAAAAAATACCCGACTAAACCACTAGATGGCCAAGTGTTAGCCTCACACCACTGTTTAGACATAAAAACAATCCATGTATACACAATATTCTTAACACTAGATTCAATCTATAATCTAGACAGTTCAAAGTTGGTTGTATAATGCATCAATTTCAACTAAGTCATAAAAAAACTGATTTTCAACTGACACCCTATCAATTTGAAAATATATGTATCTCAAACAATGTGCTGCTGGACCAAGTGTGGTCAAAACAAATAAAAATTTAGTATACAACTCTAAACCGGTATAAAAATGCATGGCTGTGTCACGTGTCTTCATTTCAAAATTCTCTGCTGAAAACATTGGCATTGATGGTGTTTGCGTACCGGTAATTCCATCTGTGAAGCTCAACATTAGCTCGGCAGTTGGTGGTGGACAGTCATAAATCCTTTCTGCAGTATGAATGACTTCTTCAGGAAAACCAACTTTACAATCAAAACTTTCCTCTAGATTTCTACTACAATATTCATCAAGTTTAGTTCTTTTGTTTTCACAGGAAACTGCCCTGATTTTTCTTTTTGCGGACGATTCAGTTTCTTGCTTGGTCCAGGAAAATAGGCTGGGAATGGCTGTAGACTTAAGTCGCTGTATGGTGGGTTTGCGCCCTGAAAAAGGTTATAAAACATTAGTTTTTTGATAATTAATTGAACTTCCATTAGCAATGTATACTTTGTACTACTTGGCAAAATATTAACTAGATTTATTCATTACAATCTGGATAAAACTATATATGTTTGCCTGATTCAATGTATGTTATGTAAATCCAAAGGACAAACAATGAGAGACTTATGCAACAAACGTATATTATTTGTACCTAAATACATTTTTAACCGTAATATAGATGAGAGCATGTCATTGTTTTGTTCCTGTAAACATTGTCATTGATATTTTTCAAGAAAGTCTATGAGGCATAGCTTATGCATTCCTGTCATTACTACATTAGCATAATTACTGCTAAAATAATTCTCAGTATGATATACCTCTTGTAAGAAATCATTATAATTGTAGCAATCACCAAAAAATCTCAAACAGATCACATTGAATCGTAATCCAAAAAATTATGACGTCTTGGATTAACCACCCCCTTTTATTCTAAAACGATAATTGCGGTTGTAAACAGACTTTGGTTTATTCGCATGGCGATTACATATATAACTATATATTTCAAAAAGAAAATAGAGTTTTACCATGAATAGTTTCCTGCACGTAGTCTTTTTCAGTAAAATGTGCCTTGCAAACAACAGCTGATTGAGATGGACTCCACGATTTCATCGTGTTCTCGTCCAATCTGCGTATGGGCCATGGCGTTGATCCAACTTTTCCTTCTTTTTAAGTCATTTGGAAATGCATGTCCTCCTCTTAAATGACATCCAGGTACACAACAACTATTACTTGGCATCGTTAATTAAAAATGTAACTGCAATAGTTGCACAGTGCAGAAACCGGAAGTTGAGGGACAGGATCGGCTACCACGGCGCCACCTATTCAGGAACGATAATTTGCTACTTTATATAACTGCGAAATAACAATTACGTTAGACGGGTTCATGTGCATAAACAGAAATGCGCTTTAAATTGTATAATATAATTCATGTTCAGTCGACCTTTAATTATTATTTCAACGACTGAAATGATTTATAAACATCTAGATTGCAGATAACACTCGAAATTCACCCGACCTCTTTCCACACGGAATTCAAATAATTCTAGTTTGTCAATCAGTTGACTGCTTATAATGCAAAATACAAATATATCAAAAGTTTTTAAAACTAACAAAACACAATGATCGTTTCTCTATTTCCCAATGTAAATGAAATGAAACAAAAAACATTTTAGATCACAATAAGAAGAGGAGAGAATTCAACTTTTCCGGATCTACTTGGAGCCTAATGACCCTCCACGTAGATAAGTTGGATATCGCGGAAGGAAAGATTAACCCGGCAACCAGAAAGGCATTAAAGCACTGCCTTTAAAAATGGACATGGCGATTACAACCGAACAAATGCACAAATTGTTGCTGATATCAAGGGAATGGTAAAGACACAGCATTGCAGGGAAATTTATACCGATCTAGCGTCTGAAAAAATTCTGCTCATCAGAATCTAAACATATCATTGGGGTGGACCGCACTTTTAATTTGGGGGCTGCATATGTTACTGTTACAGTGTTCCACAACCATAACTTAATAAGAAAGATTTCAAACACTCCAGCGCCAATCATGCTTGGGCCATGCTACCTCCACTGAGCCGGTATCTTCTACACTTACCACCGATTTTTTAGCCACCTCCAGTGCTTTTTGGACGATATTCCTGGAACACAGATTAGTGGCAAAAGCAAACTCCTGCTTTTTAACCCCTTGTTTTAACTACGGTACATGTATAGTACTGCTTTATTTGCCGATTTATTATAAATTTTTTATAAAACCAAAACTGTTTAAATCGCGGCATGCGATTTGTAATGCTTATCGGTGATTCAATGTTATTTGTTTTATACCAAACAATGTGCATAACTAACTTATTTCATCGACACAAAGTTGTCTCATGCCAATACAATATCTTTATATTTTCCCCGGGCGCATTTTCTTTTCCTCGGGCGTTTTTTTTCCTTCCCCGGGCGCTTTTTCTTCACCCGGGCGCTCCCGGGCGCTTTTTAGTAGGACCCATAAGCGATGTCTTCTCGGTCCACTCTGACATCCGCCCAGATACTCATGATAACATTCCAATAGTAAGACACCAGGACGGGTTCATATAGAAACTTTTGAAAGCAGAGAAAACTGTGCACCTTATGTTCGGCATGACTTTAACAGAGGACCATAAAAATACTCAAAATCAAGGACAACAATAAGGCTGAAGTAATTTGGTTCAGTCACGGGTGTGTTAAAAGTTAATAAACTATTCCCAGGTTCCATTATTTAATTGACTGTTGACACAGGGATATACGTCTCGTTGTAAGCAATTAAAATGATAAAATGGAAAGGTTAAAATAATTGCAAATACTTTTACACATTTTAACCAAGAAAAAATATTCCAAGTCATTCAATGCCCATGACCAGAGGCGCAAGGCTAACTAATCTCCATGGAAATTAGATATGCTAAGGTGCGGATCCAGAATTTAAAAAAGAGGCCTGAGGGGGTTCGATCCAAGTCTATGCTGTACCATACATGAAACCCATAAATAAGGGTGTGGGTCCCTTGACCCTCTAAATCCATCGCTGATGCTGAAAATGCCAAAAGTCAATACAAGTGTGCATATCAATTAACTATCACTGATTTTATCACCAGATTCTCATAAGCATGACTTAGATGAAGGGGGCATATAATCTCACTGGGAATGATATGCTACTGCTTATACAACTGCATTACACATGCCATTGACCTAGCTACAGTTTAATAGTGGTTCTGAACTTCACTTCAATTCATCTGAACCAATCTAACTTTAACATGTAAACTAGGCAATAGTTTCAAGTTCAATGGACAGTGACTGAGGGGAAATGGAAAATGATCTCTATGGGAGGAATCATGAATATGTTTGCCCTGAAATTAAGTTAATCAGAAACTTCAATTTTTAAACTAAGCAAAATCCATGGATATGATATACCAAATATGATCGAGTTGAAATAAGGTTTTCTTAAGTAACCTAAACACAGACTTGTTCAAACAGCGACACGGGGGTCACCACGCTATAAAGCGCACACACATGTCTCACATTAATGAAATCTTAGAGGCAAAACAAAAACCATCAAGAATGTTCATAACAACCAGGTGTTTGTTGGCATGCACCTCTATCTTAAACATTTCATGAAACCATGATGAAAATCAGATTTATATTTTTATATTGTGTAACACATAAAGGATAATCACCCTGGAATGTAATTTAGAAAACACAGTGACAATATGTTTTCACTGTATTACCTAACAAAAAGCCCAATATGGTTGCAAGAGCTAAACGGTATCAGATTGGTCTTAGCTTCAAAGAGCCAGTAAACCAATACAATCAAACCTGTCAGATATCAGTGTTTGCGTTTGAAGTTCCCCATAAGTATTTTATTTTGGTTCCGATTGGAGACACACCATGGACCAATTGTCATCATAGGCGGTCAAACGTTCATATTTAAACCAAATATTTTTGACTTTTGTTCTAATTTCCAAAAGACTTCATAGACATATTGGTACAATATATATGTCTCTGAACACATGAACTGAAATGAAATCAAACCATGTAGGAATATTCTATAATAATACCTATTGTGAATATTGTTGTTATGTTTAGTTTTAGTGAGTTGTCTGGTTTAAGAGTAAGCTTTGATAGTTGGTTATCTTGTTGGAATTATTTTACACTTTGTAATCTTTGTGTCTTCCATAGATTGCTACACAAGGCCATACATAAGTGTGACCTGTATTTTCTAGCATTTACTTTGGTCTCTGCATGGTGGAAAGATGTCTCATTGGCGATCATACCACATCTCCCAATTTTATATTGATAATCATACAGATCAAAGAAAATTAAAGCTACAAGTATCATTCTATTAAACATACAAAATTTCTGAGAAAGACAATTCTGTGCTTTTGGATATATGGTATTAATAATAGACAATTTCAGTCAACTTGAACTTTCACATAGACAGTTAATTTTTATGTGAGCCTGTCTGTTTCATATAAATGGTTGACAATATATCATTTATCCGTGACATTAAAATACTCTGAGCATACATGTAACATGACATGGGAAGAAAGATAGTCAGACATACCAAATAGTTCTTATATTTGGGATATTACATGTGACTGTAATATACATGTTAATATTTTCATGATAGCAGGTCTAATAACCACTTGACTTGGTTAAAAGATTTCTTGGATTCTATGAAAAGGAATGCTTTCATTTTTGATAAGCATCTTGAGAATTTTGAGTTGATGTCTATTAGCAATTTTCTGCCATGTCTGCTGTGCAGCTACATCTTGTTTCCTGGTATTTTAGAATTAATTGCATGCAGCCACAAAGGTCCAGACCTGGTATTGTTCTTTTTTTTTCTATTTTTTGATGCTCTTGTTAAAACAGTTTTAAAATTTTCAACATCTTTTCTTAGTAGCTCATTTTTACCTGAAAAAGAGAAGTAATATAATATTAATCAAGAATTAACAAAATTGGCATGTAATTACACATGTATATAAAGATCAGTGGTGGATCCAGAAATGTTTATAAGAGGGGGCCCACTCCAGTCATGCTTCAGTGATTCCCTATATAATCAACCAAATTTTTCCCACAAAAGAGGGGGACGGTCCACTGCCACCCCCCTAAATCCACCTCTGAAAATAAAATTGTCTTATTGTTACTGCTGATTCATTTTAATATCAATTGTGTATACAACAGATGAAAACAGTCCAATGAAATTATATTTTCTAGAAGTATGTAAGATGAGTAATTTACTATTAACAAACAAGTCCATTTGCATTGCTTATATACACAAATGACAAAAAAATGTTTTTTTAATTGAAATATAGAACTCTAATAAATGTTTGTACATTCACTGATAAGCTGATACGTCATTTCTAATAATTATTTCATATATGTACTTACACCTTTATATCAAAACAGTCTCTGTATGTACATGTATCTCTTTCTTTCCATTTCACATAACTCTACAATCAGAACAGCATCTGCAACAACCAAAATTTAATGTTTATGACCCCTTCTGTAGCCATGTGAATTACGAAATTTTCAAACTGCAATAGTATCAAAACAGCAAAAATAATGAATAATAGAGATGGGCCGTTTTGTACATATATCAAGGGGAAACTTCGTGCAAAGCATTATTATTTATTGTTTCATTGCATTTAAAAGAAAAGGGGATTTTGTGGCAAATAAACCAAGATTTTTGTAGAAAATCCACAGACTTTAAAAAAGAGATTTTTGTTATAAGATTTTAAACATAGATTACTCACTTGTTTTTCTATGATGTGCTAGCATTTATTGTTTACAAAAAGTCCTAAACAACCTTTAAATTCCAAACAAAATCGTGCTGAGTCACTAAAATCGAGTACACCCTAGAAGGTGTACTTGAATTGGTCCATATTTATATTTGTTCTAAACAATATTTTGATTTATAAACTTGTCCTAAGGAAATCATTGCTAGCACTGCATGCAATATTCCTCTATCTATCAAGCATAGAATGGTCAAATATTAGATTACAAGGGAAAGGCTAGATTTTATTTAAAATTTACATGTTTAGCATTGAAACAACAAAAGGATACATAATTCTTAAAGAGCTCTAATTAAGAGCTCAATGACATGTTCCTTGCTATTAATATTTATATATGCAACCCGACTTTAAATAAAGATTACTTTACTATACTTTACTTTAAAGACTTTAAGACAAACTTGTCATATAATCAGAAATATGATTTCAAACAAAGCTGTCCAGTCTTTTGTTTTTTATGGTCATCATCATCAGGGATTAAAAATATTCTGAGTAAATACTTAAAAGTTAATCACTTTAAATTTGGTTGCCTTTATGAAAGGAGCAAAAATGCTTACCATGTGCAATACAAAGATGTAATATTGACCTGGCAGTAACAATTAAACAATGACTGAGAGCACAACATGGTACATTTTTGTAAACTGAAATATAATATGACTATATCAAGCAATGTAAATTATATAATAAAATCTAGGATGTAGTTCACTTACATTCTGCCAACACTTAAAGTAGGAACTATTTCTAGGACTCTCGTGACTGTGTAGTAAACAATTTGTGAGGTGGTGTTTGATTAGCAGATCAATAGAACAACAACAATGTCAACATGCAACTGCAAACTCGTTATTTTGTTGATTGATTTTATTTTTGTCATTCAATATCGAGTATTATAACTTTACAAAACATTTGTAATGGATAGTGTGTCAAATAATCGAATAGTTTATCTTTTTATGTCATATTCTTGAAAAATGTTGAAATCGCAAGTACCTTTCGATATTTTTCAATAACTTTTTGGCCGTCTGGTTTAAAGAGTTTTTACAGTGCGATTATTATTGTCATGTAGATAGATCAAAAGACCATGTTATGAAATATTATTTGGCAGACTTACGAGTCATTCTGATATGTGCGATCCGCTAAATCAACCTTTTAGTAAACACAAACTTGATCTTCCCCGCATAAACATGGCGTTTGCATTATTGTAAGGAGTTGTTTCCCCTTACTGGACTTGGTCTAATTTACAGGGCAAATATATAATATAACTTTAATATAACTTTATTGCAAAACATGAAACCCTGGCGGGTTAAAATGCAAACATAGTACATTGTATACACAAGTGACAAGAAACATAATACATGATAAATGTTTTAAACAAATCAAGTTGATATTAATAAATATATATATATATATATATATAATAATTGACCAATGTGGACCTTATTTTCGCAATTCCATAGATTGCTTTATATAGTCTACAACACTAGACAAAATATCTTTATTGGGATCTAGAATAGTTTTAAGTTTAGAGTTTGAGTCAAGCTGGTTAAAATTAGGATAATTGGTTTTAATTGCATTTATAAGGGAATGTCTTACATTACTGTTAATTTGGCAATGAAGGAAAAAGTGTTCCTCATCATCTAAAATTTTACAAACTTTGCACAGTCTGTGTTCTCTTTGAATTTTTTTATAACGTCCTAAAAAAACAAAAAACACTTTAAACACTAACACCACTGGTAACGGTTTACCACCAGCATGTGGCCACACGTCTCTCTGTATGATGAGTTCTAGCTGACTGTCAGGCAACATCGAACACCAACACCACATTAATTAGGTTTATCACCAGTATTGTGTTTACATGTCTGTGAGTTCAGGCTGTAAGTAAAAAATTGAGCACTTACACTACAGTAAATATGTTTATCACCAGTATGTGCCCACATGTCTCTCTGTGATTTTGGGCTGTAAGTAAAACTAGAGGCTCTCAAGAGCCTGTGTCGCTCACCTGACTCTACTTGGGTTTTTAAAATCACATAAAAAAGGATAAAAATCATAACAGATACTAAAATAATGATTGAGGCCAAATTTGGTATTATATTAGCCCCATAATTTAATAATAAACCCTGGTGGCCATCTTGAACAGTAAATCAGCAGACATCTTATACGTTCGGGTATTTCACATCCAATCTTTTATGGTAATATTCTTATCAAAGCACAAAAATGTCAATACTCACCTCAAAAGCTAACAAAACCTTTAAACAGACTTATTAAGAAGGGATATAGTTACGATACTGTTGTCAGGTCATTAAAGATTGCATATTTTGGCTTTAATATTGATTCACTTATAGGGTCTTTGCATCGGAATTAAACATATTTATTCTAAAACCAGTTGTTGGCATGACACTGGTTATGTTCTTCTCATATATTTTATGATGGTATAATACTAAACCCCTAACAGGAGGGATTGTGCCTGATATTCATATGATGAAGACATAATCTTTCAATCAGTTTACTTGAGGTCTGGAGCTGGCATGTCAGTAACTGCTAGTAGTCTGTTGTTATTTATGTATTATTGTCATTTTGTTTATTTTCTTTTGTTTCCTACATGTATTCTGACATCGGACTCGGACTTCTCTTAAACTGAGATTTACTGTGCGTACTGTTGTACGTTTGTTTTTTCTACATTGGCTAGAGGTATAGGGGGAGGGTTGAGATCTCAAAAAACATGTTTAACCCCGCCGCATTTTTGCGCCTGTCCCAAGTCAGGAGCCTCTGGCCTTTGTTAGTCTTGTATCATTTTTAATTTTAGTTTCTTGTGTATAATTTGGAGTTTAGTATGACGTCCATTATCACTGAACTAGTAAACATATTTGTTTAGGGGCCAGCTGAGTACCACCTCCGGGTGCGGGAGTTTCTCGCTGCATTGAAGACCCATTGGTGGCCTTCGGCTGTTGTCTGCTCTATGGTCGGGTTGTTGTCTCTTTGACACATTCCCCATTTCCATTCTCAATTTTATTTTTACACTTCATCAGCACCTCATAAGGAACATTGATGACATGTTTAGTTTCATTCCAAGCAGTGGTTCTCTAAAAGAAGACATTTGTATGTATTTCCCATAGGGTCCCATGTCAAACTAAGACCCCCGCTGGCGTCCATCTTGGATGATGGTTCGGCTACAAAGTAACAACACATGGTCAGCACCTTCTAAGGAACATTCATGCTATGTTTGGTTTCATTCCAATCAGTGGTTCTCTAAAAGAAGACATTTGTATGTATTCCCCATAGGGTCCTATGTTAAACTAAGTCCCCCGATGGCGGCCAGCTTGGATGATGGATTGGCTTCAAAGTAACAACACTTAGTCAGCACCTAATAAGGAACATTATTAGGTCCGCGATTTTTTACTTATCATCTAAATATGTTCATCTTAACATAAAAAACACATTCACAAAGTTTTAAATATATATTCTTTCTAATAAAGGAGAAAATCAAGTATTTGTAACTTTTTTGGTTGACCTACGTCACTGGGTTGTGACGTTTTAACCCGATTTGTTGAATCATGGGAAAAAATAAAATCTGTTAAAGTCTTAATTGCTTATCAAAATTTTACGTAATTAAAAGCGCACAGATGACCGTTGGTCCTAGTTAATAACAACAATATAAGAATGAAAGAAAATGAATATGTGTGTATCGTTTTGTATTGATTGAATAAAACTTCCTATATGAAGTTATCTAAATATAAATATTTTCGAATTAATTTCATAAATTATTGAGATTTTTTCATAAAATATCTGTAGAACATTTTTACTGATATTGAACTGAAAATATTTTAAGTTTTATTTGCCGTTATAACTTTGATAACCATTTCAATGCAAAATATTTGTGAACAGAGTTTGTATATTATTTTGTAAAGTCATTGTTTATTTCTCGATTTGAGGAGAATTCGTTTGAACTTTACCTTGCAGCAATTTAGCCTCAGGCGTACACAGGTGTGAATTCAAGCGTACACAGGTGTGAATATTGTCATTTTGAATGGATTAACAGAAAGAGTATAGCGTGTTTAATATACCCAGATGAAATACCCGATGACAATAGAGAAACAATAATTAAATTGTACAAATTAATTAAAAATTTACATTCAACTTTTTAATTCCGGAAGTGTTACAATATTAAAATGGAACAATTTTCGGTTACGTTCTATGCAATTAGCATAAAGTTAAGATATGAAGTTAAAAGAATAGTACTTTTAACCTTAAAAATTAAATGTTACATTTCCCAATTAATAATCATTGCACATCTGTTTAATTTACTGTACCGGAATTCTTTAACTTGTATTAAATCTGGCGATGTTTAAATGCTAACAATCGTAAAACTATCGCAATTTTAAAGTTTTTAATTGAAAAAATACAACAGTACAACATGCATGATTTTTTTGTAATTTTCTTATTAACATTTCATTCTTACATAATTAAATTCATTGGACAATCACTTAGACAAATTATTTGTGAAAAGAATACCAATTATCGTTTATACATACATTATAAATCTAAGCTAATACATTAATTTGTTTGAGGATTTTGTTTAGGATAGCCGTCATTAATCCAAATTAGTAATACAGTTATTGTAATTAAAGGCATATCTTAGTAATGTATTACTGATATTGACGATTTTAGAACAGTTCGTCCCAACCTCGTTGTTCTTGAAACAATCTTTACTAGTATACTTGTAAGTTTCCTGACGTATCAGCGCCATTGAGGATGAGCTCCAGAGAGCTCGCAGACTAGTAGCGTATTTGTTTGTTGGGACAGGAGAGGCCACTTGTACAGATAAACAAGCTTATGTTGTCAACACTATCAGAAAGAGTTCCCATCGTCGGATGGGATATATGAAGGTTCCAAGAATGAACTATCGACATGTCTAACTCTGAACAGTTAGTAAACGGACTTAACAATGATCTATAGACATCGACCGCTTGTTCTTGATATTTGAAACTGCATGTATATGTACGTTTATGAGAGTGATTATTTATCTTGTGTCTGACGAAAACTAAATGCCTGCATGGTTATATCTTGCCATACGTTTGTATTGGTTTGGTGGGTGTTCACTCAAAATCGTAATTCAAAATTGTGTTTGTGAGATGTAGATTCACTTCAATACCGAATTTCGTCTATATATTTCACAAGTGTATACCACGGAGAAGATCTGAAGGTATATTACTCCATTTTGTTTGGCAAATATTACATGCATGTCGGACCATGATTTGTCAATCTGTATGAAAAGATTTCCAATACAACCATATTGAGTAGGAATTTTTACATGCTAAACTCTCGTACTAGTATTACAGGGTTCTTGTGTCGTTTAACTCAGACACACATCTTTTACTTTAAGATGTATGAAAGGTTCTAAATATATATATATATATACATATAAACGCCTAAAAAGTGTACACAACAACACCAATAACAAAAAAAGGAACTATAAATGTAATTATTTATAAATATTTCGGATAACAGATATCCTTCATCAGTAAATATGATTGTGATGTTGAATGAATCATATATCAGTCTACTTAGATTAAACTATAACAATCTTGAAATTTATACAATAAAAAAGTCAAACCGAACATCAGGTAAGACGCTTGCACAATTC